CCTATATTTCCCCTTGTTGTTTTTCTCCTCTCATCCCTCTGTGAATAAATATTTCCCTTGTTATATCCATTGTACTTCTCCCGTGGGTGTGTGTGTTCACTCTGGGAGGTTTGGAACAGGTGTCCCTGGGGTGGAAGGGATTTCTCCTGCTGCATTCCTGCACGCGACATCTCTTGGCCAGAGCTGCCTGCAGAGCAGACTCCAGCTTGGCCACGAGGGTGCTAAAGTTACACTGTTAATGATGGCCACGGTGCTCTGAACAAAATGAAACTTTACAAGGCGAATGGAATCTCTCAGCTCCCCTGGGAGGTGGGTCAGTGTCACTATCTCCAGAGGGGGAAACTGAGGCACAAGTACCAGGGGTGTGATTTGTCCCTCAAGATAAGATAGCAAGTGAGTGGAGTCCTGGCTCCCAGACCCCACCCTGCTCTAACCGATTCCTTCCTGAACCTATCTGAGACTAAGCTGGCAAAACCCAGCACGGGGTCTCGCTGCGCTGGGTGAGGTCGCTGAAGGAGGGGGGAGCAGGAGGGACAGATTTGGGGTGAGGGCTGCTGTGTTTGTAGAACAGCCTCTAACCCCAGCCTGGCTGTGGGAGGATGGCTGTGTGTCTCGGCAGCTACAGCCAGCAGGGAGCACCCCTTGTGTTGTTTTTGTGCAGATCCTACACCAGCGCTTAGTCATTTTGCACCCACAAATCAGCAGCTCCAGTATAACTCTTGTTCTCAGTCAGGGGGTAAATACAACTGCAGCTGTTCCCCAGAGCAGGGTGAGGAACGGGGGGGTCGGGGCAGCCCCATAGGGACACACATGCCAGGGAGGGTGTGGGAGCAAAGGGGTTATTTTGCTTATCGAGGGTAAAAGTACCAAGTCCCTCCCTGTCTGTAGCGGCTGCCCAAGCAAGGGGCAGCAGCAGGAGGAATGGGATCCCACGCTGCGGCTGTATGGCACTAAGCACTGACAGGACGCCCAGGCCCCTGCTTGCAGAGGTTGCCTCCCAGCTGCAGCAGCCCCTTGATCAGGTCACACTAACTAGCCTGGGGGCTGGTAAATGCGTCTCCTGCTCAACTTCCTCATCCCCACTCACCTGCCACCCATTAAACTGGGACCCAGCCAGGGTTTTTGGGTGGTTCACAGGTGCCAGACTGGGCCTGGCCTGGCCTCCCCAGATCCCCTTGGCCTCAGCCTCTGAGCGAGACTCCCGAGTGGCGATGCTCCATCTGCCCTTCCCTGCACAGGCCCTGTCAACACAAACTAGTCACTGTAGCCGCGCCCGTGTAACCAGCATGGTACAAGGCTCCTCGTGTGGGTGTGGTGACACTGGGATAAACATGTCTACACGGTGTGACAGGGCAAGGCCAGATGGCTACAGGAAAGTAGTGAGAAACAGGTATGTTAGCCCCAGGCTAAACAAATCCCTGGTACCATGGTAACCAAATGGCAGTTGCTCCAGGTTAATCAAGACACCTGGGGCCAATTAAGATCCTTCCAGAAAAGCAGTGGAGACAGCTAGGTTGATTGGGACACCTGAAGCCAATCAGGGGCTGTCCGAAACTAGTTAAAAACCTCCCAGTTAGTCAGGTGGGTGCATGTCAGGAGCTGTGGGAGGAAGTTGTGCTGTTGGAGAGACTGAGCAGTATACACCGTATCAGGCACAAGGAAGGAGGCGCTGAGGTAAGGGTGAAGTGGAGCTTGAGGAAGTGGGGGCTGCTGTGGGGAAGTAGCCCAGGGAATTGTACGTGTCCTGTTTCTAAAAGGTCAGCTACCTTAGCTGATACTATTAGGGTCCCTGGGCTGGAGCCCGGAGTAGAGGATGGGCCTGGGCTTCCCCCTTTACCCCCTGATTAATCACTGAGACTGGGAGACAGAGACTGCGGTGTGGGGGAGGATCGTTTCTCCTCACCTCCCTTGCTGGCTTATGATAAGAATGGCTCAGTGACTGTGACCCTCCTCTCTAGGGAGAGAAGGGTTATGGGGAGGGTCACAGTGAGCCTCTGAGGCTAACGAAATCTGCCAGGAAATGTGGGGCCCACGGAGACCAGGACAGAGCTTTGTCACAACGGGTACAGCTTGTTTGTCTACGGCAGCAGTATAAGCACCGTTATAGTGATACAGCTGGTTCCTGGCTGGAGTTGTACTGATTTAAGTACCTCACTAGAAAAGTCACGCCTGCCCCAACACAACCAAAGTAGTGGAGTTGGTGCAAACCCCATGTCAACAGGACAGAGTGGGTGAAGATTTACTCACCGTGTATGAAACCCCCAAGCACCACAGAGCACAGCACACATCACACACTGTATTTATTGGGGTGAGAGACATGACTAGTAAAGGCAAAGAAACCCACCCAAACCTGAGCCTGGTCCGATACGCTCGCCCCGCGGAGCCTGTTAGCTACAGGAAGGCAAGTCCGCAGCCAAAGTGCTGCCCTCTGAAGAATTCCTTCTCCCCAGCTGGCTCATCCTCTTAATCCTTAACAAGGCTGTCAGAGCCCCCCGCCTTCACCCCCCACCGCAGCCCCCTTACAGGATCTGAACCCTGTTCTAGCCTGGGGGTTACTGTGCGCAGTACCCAGGCTGGGTGGCCCCACACAGGGCTTATTGGCACTCAGATCCTAGAGCAATGGTGGCTGCAAACAGCCGCCTGCAGCTCAACCTGGCTTAGCTCCCATTCAAAGGGCCTGTCAGCCCCTGACCCAGCTTAGCTGCCCTGTTCTCCCCCCTGCGCCCTACCTGGCTGCGGCGTTCATGGGATGGCTGCTTGAGGCCTCATTTAAGCCTGGGTTTAAAGGGATCTGTGGGGAGGTTTTCCAAAGCACTAAGGGGTTTAGGAGCATATCCCATTGACTGTCCCTGGTAGTCATACTCCTGAATCCCTTAGGTGCCCTTGAAACTCTCCCTCTTGGGTTATGGTCCCTGTAACGCTCCTTCCTGACTGCCCCCCCAGGACCCCTGCCCCCATTCAATCCCCCTGTTCCCTGCCCTCTGACTGCCCCAACCCCTATCCACTCCCCCACAACCCTCCGAACTCCCCTGTCCTCTTCCAACACCTGCTCCCTGCCCCCTAACTGCGCTGCCTGGAGCCGCTCAGCCGGGTCTGGGCTGGGTCCGCTTGGTCCGGGCTGGGTCCAGGGCCGGGCCCGGTCCGCTCGGTCTGGGCCATTCCCTGACCCGCCACAGACAGAATCCTCCAAACGGGCTGAAGAGAGATTAAAACCCCAAACCTACATCTGTGTCCAAATGAAAATTGCCAAGAGATTTACAATGTTACTGTTTAAAAATTCTACTTTATCGGATGTAGCCACGAAAGCTTATGCTGAAATAAATTTGTTAGTCTCTAAGGTGCCACAAGGACTCCTGTTCTTTTTGCGGATACAGACTAACACAGCTGCTACTCTGAAACCTGTCTAAAAATGTTTTTAAAATCTTAAGCAAAAAAAAAAAGAAAATTACACCCGTCACACACAAAATCAACCCAGGTGGGAGCAGAACTGGCCCCAGCTTAGGGTTTATCTACACCCAAACGTGTCCCCTAACTGATCTGGTGCACTGATTCTGGTAGGAAAGGAGGCTTTTTTTGGTGTCGCTTAAGTGACTTGGGAAACAGTTTAAATAAGAAGTGCCACTTCTTACACGAGACCGTGTGCCCACACAGGGATTTAACTAAAAATTTAAATTCACACCTTTATAGTTACACTGGTGCAAATCGCCATGTAGACAAGGCCTTACCCTGGAGTGACCAGTGCCCTGACAGCAGGATTTAGCCCATTACACAGGAAGCTGCAGCAGCAAAAAGAACATCTTAATCACTGCAGAAACAAAAACGGGGGCTAAGTTACAATCAAAGCAGACAGACCAGTGTGTGCTGGTGTGACAATGCGGTTCTGGCGGAACCCAACTGAGAGTGCCAACTCAGGACAAATTGCTCAAACAGGGCAGTTACAGCCCAAGGCTGGGGTTTTTTCCGCCTCTAAGGCAAACCAAACCAGCCAGACTAGGAGGACTTCGGTCTCACCCCACTGGCTAACCGCAAGTCTCACAAGCAATCTCCTTAGACACTCCAGTTTCCCAGTACTCCCACCAGTGCCACTCGTTATGGGGACAAATGGTTATGAAAACCAATACCCCAGTAAAAGAAAAAGGTTCTCCTGATCCCAAAGGACCAAGCCCCAGACCCAGGTCAATGTACAAGTCAGACCTTACCCACAAAT